CACGTCTGTTGTGAGATAGGAACTCACTGAAGACAATTGGTGAATGGTTGCTCAACTTCGTGGATCAGTTGAAGTTAGACATTAACACCGTTGGATGCCAGCTCAGTGGTCTATCGGTTAAGGGCTTCGGCTCGTAACTGGTAGGTCCTGGGTTCGAATCTCGCGCGAGCGGGTTCGTGGATGCGCACTGCTGAGGAGTCCCATAATAGGACGAAACGGCCGTCCAGTGTTTCCAGGTTTTCCATGGTGGTCTAGCTTCAATTGATTCATGCTTTAAAACTATGAAAAATACTAAATCTCCACAAAACCCCCTCTGATAATTAATATAATCATATGCTCACCAGTGACTTCGAGAAGTATAACTAGGAGCTCTAGTGAGAAGCAGTGACCAGTGGAGTTCAAAACCACGTCTGTTGTGAGATAGGAACTCACTGAAGACAATTGGTGAATGGTTGCTCAACTTCGTGGATCAGTTGAAGTTAGACATTAACACCGTTGGATGCCAGCTCAGTGGTCTATCGGTTAAGGGCTTCGGCTCGTAACTGGTAGGTCCTGGGTTCGAATCTCGCGCGAGCGGGTTCGTGGATGCGCACTGCTGAGGAGTCCCATAATAGGACGAAACGGCCGTCCAGTGTTTCCAGGTTTTCCATGGTGGTCTAGCTTCAATTGATTCATGCTTTAAAACTATGAAAAATACTAAATCTCCACAAAACCCCCTCTGATAATTAATATAATCATATGCTCACCAGTGACTTCGAGAAGTATAACTAGGAGCTCCAGTGAGAAGCAGTGACCAGTGGAGTTCAAAACCACGTCTGTTGTGAGATAGGAACTCACTGAAGACAATTGGTGAATGGTTGCTCAACTTCGTGGATCAGTTGAAGTTAGACATTAACACCGTTGGATGCCAGCTCAGTGGTCTATCGGTTAAGGGCTTCGGCTCGTAACTGGTAGGTCCTGGGTTCGAATCTCGCGCGAGCGGGTTCGTGGATGCGCACTGCTGAGGAGTCCCATAATAGGACGAAACGGCCGTCCAGTGTTTCCAGGTTTTCCATGGTGGTCTAGCTTCAATTGATTCATGCTTTAAAACTATGAAAAATACTAAATCTCCACAAAACCCCCTCTGATAATTAATATAATCATATGCTCACCAGTGACTTCGAGAAGTATAACTAGGAGCTCTAGTGAGAAGCAGTGACCAGTGGAGTTCAAAACCACGTCTGTTGTGAGATAGGAACTCACTGAAGACAATTGGTGAATGGTTGCTCAACTTCGTGGATCAGTTGAAGTTAGACATTAACACCGTTGGATGCCAGCTCAGTGGTCTATCGGTTAAGGGCTTCGGCTCGTAACTGGTAGGTCCTGGGTTCGAATCTCGCGCGAGCGGGTTCGTGGATGCGCACTGCTGAGGAGTCCCATAATAGGACGAAACGGCCGTCCAGTGTTTCCAGGTTTTCCATGGTGGTCTAGCTTCAATTGATTCATGCTTTAAAACTATGAAAAAAATACTAAATCTCCACAAAACCCCCTCTGATAATTAATATAATCATATGCTCACCAGTGACTTCGAGAAGTATAACTAGGAGCTCTAGTGAGAAGCAGTGACCAGTGGAGTTCAAAACCACGTCTGTTGTGAGATAGGAACTCACTGAAGACAATTGGTGAATGGTTGCTCAACTTCGTGGATCAGTTGAAGTTAGACATTAACACCGTTGGATGCCAGCTCAGTGGTCTATCGGTTAAGGGCTTCGGCTCGTAACTGGTAGGTCCTGGGTTCGAATCTCGCGCGAGCGGGTTCGTGGATGCGCACTGCTGAGGAGTCCCATAATAGGACGAAACGGCCGTCCAGTGTTTCCAGGTTTTCCATGGTGGTCTAGCTTCAATTGATTCATGCTTTAAAACTATGAAAAAAATACTAAATCTCCACAAAACCCCCTCTGATAATTAATATAATCATATGCTCACCAGTGACTTCGAGAAGTATAACTAGGAGCTCTAGTGAGAAGCAGTGACCAGTGGAGTTCAAAACCACGTCTGTTGTGAGATAGGAACTCACTGAAGACAATTGGTGAATGGTTGCTCAACTTCGTGGATCAGTTGAAGTTAGACATTAACACCGTTGGATGCCAGCTCAGTGGTCTATCGGTTAAGGGCTTCGGCTCGTAACTGGTAGGTCCTGGGTTCGAATCTCGCGCGAGCGGGTTCGTGGATGCGCACTGCTGAGGAGTCCCATAATAGGACGAAACGGCCGTCCAGTGTTTCCAGGTTTTCCATGGTGGTCTAGCTTCAATTGATTCATGCTTTAAAACTATGAAAAAAATACTAAATCTCCACAAAACCCCCTCTGATAATTAATATAATCATATGCTCACCAGTGACTTCGAGAAGTATAACTAGGAGCTCTAGTGAGAAGCAGTGACCAGTGGAGTTCAAAACCACGTCTGTTGTGAGATAGGAACTCACTGAAGACAATTGGTGAATGGTTGCTCAACTTCGTGGATCAGTTGAAGTTAGACATTAACACCGTTGGATGCCAGCTCAGTGGTCTATCGGTTAAGGGCTTCGGCTCGTAACTGGTAGGTCCTGGGTTCGAATCTCGCGCGAGCGGGTTCGTGGATGCGCACTGCTGAGGAGTCCCATAATAGGACGAAACGGCCGTCCAGTGTTTCCAGGTTTTCCATGGTGGTCTAGCTTCAATTGATTCATGCTTTAAAACTATGAAAAATACTAAATCTCCACAAAACCCCCTCTGATAATTAATATAATCATATGCTCACCAGTGACTTCGAGAAGTATAACTAGGAGCTCTAGTGAGAAGCAGTGACCAGTGGAGTTCAAAACCACGTCTGTTGTGAGATAGGAACTCACTGAAGACAATTGGTGAATGGTTGCTCAACTTCGTGGATCAGTTGAAGTTAGACATTAACACCGTTGGATGCCAGCTCAGTGGTCTATCGGTTAAGGGCTTCGGCTCGTAACTGGTAGGTCCTGGGTTCGAATCTCGCGCGAGCGGGTTCGTGGATGCGCACTGCTGAGGAGTCCCATAATAGGACGAAACGGCCGTCCAGTGTTTCCAGGTTTTCCATGGTGGTCTAGCTTCAATTGATTCATGCTTTAAAACTATGAAAAATACTAAATCTCCACAAAACCCCCTCTGATAATTAATATAATCATATGCTCACCAGTGACTTCGAGAAGTATAACTAGGAGCTCTAGTGAGAAGCAGTGACCAGTGGAGTTCAAAACCACGTCTGTTGTGAGATAGGAACTCACTGAAGACAATTGGTGAATGGTTGCTCAACTTCGTGGATCAGTTGAAGTTAGACATTAACACCGTTGGATGCCAGCTCAGTGGTCTATCGGTTAAGGGCTTCGGCTCGTAACTGGTAGGTCCTGGGTTCGAATCTCGCGCGAGCGGGTTCGTGGATGCGCACTGCTGAGGAGTCCCATAATAGGACGAAACGGCCGTCCAGTGTTTCCAGGTTTTCCATGGTGGTCTAGCTTCAATTGATTCATGCTTTAAAACTATGAAAAATACTAAATCTCCACAAAACCCCCTCTGATAATTAATATAATCATATGCTCACCAGTGACTTCGAGAAGTATAACTAGGAGCTCTAGTGAGAAGCAGTGACCAGTGGAGTTCAAAACCACGTCTGTTGTGAGATAGGAACTCACTGAAGACAATTGGTGAATGGTTGCTCAACTTCGTGGATCAGTTGAAGTTAGACATTAACACCGTTGGATGCCAGCTCAGTGGTCTATCGGTTAAGGGCTTCGGCTCGTAACTGGTAGGTCCTGGGTTCGAATCTCGCGCGAGCGGGTTCGTGGATGCGCACTGCTGAGGGGTCCCATAATAGGACGAAACGGCCGTCCAGTGTTTCCAGGTTTTCCATGGTGGTCTAGCTTCAATTGATTCATGCTTTAAAACTATGAAAAATACTAAATCTCCACAAAACCCCCTCTGATAATTCCATTAATCTCTACAATTATCACACAATTTATGAACTTCACTAAATTATTACACCACCCACCCTGGATTAACCTCCCTCTTTTGACCTCTGACCTGTTTCTAGCATATATATATATAGTTATTATTGTAATCACGTTATTTACACTCATTTATGTCATTTGTTTCACACTATCTTCATGTAAAAATCCTATCACAATTTTGGTTTGTAAGCAGCTGACGAGAAACCTCGAAATAATATGAATTCATACTATTCTGCATCAATGTTTGTTCTTGCTTTATTTAAAAATATATGATACAAAAGCAAATAATTAAAGTGGATACACTACTTTCATATGGTCCAAAAATTTGTCAAGGTAAGAAAGAGGTTCAAAAGTTCAAAAGTCGTTATGCATAAGGTAGAGGAACTCATCCATATGACTCCATAATAGTTGGTCTCTGGAACCATGACAAGGTCACAAAAGCCCTCTCAGCCTCGACCACGTAGCTTCAATATTGTTTGTGTGTACTCTGGTTGTGTAAGTTTATCATTTTTATTATGGATATCTCCCTACAATACTCATACCACTGAACAGGAACATTGCAGGCAATGTTACTGGTGCTTTTAATATATAGTTCGCGGCAATTATTATAATATGCCTTAGTCTCAATCTGGATCGAGCGATAAAGGTTCCTATTCTAGAAAACGTCTTCCTTCAACATATATTACATCGAAGGACAACATCACGGTAGTCTGAACAAGGTCTACAAGTCATTTGCTACTCGTAATTACAAATACAGCAACTTCTTAGTAGTTTCATTTGTGTGTAGCCGCTTAATTGTCAAGTCTTCTCTAAAATTCTCTATGAACCGATCGTTCATGAGCATCAGGTACTGAAATAGGCGCCCTGACCTTGAAATTCCTCAGACGCTTCTGATTAGCTCGTCCATAAATTATAGTCTCACCATAGTTTCACTGATAACTTGATATCAAAATAATGCCAAATAATGAACAGATTTATCTTGAATCATTGTAATATATTTTTTTCAGATGATGCACAACATGGGAAAGTAAACTCATATTTAAAGTGTCTACTATGTTTACAATCGAAACCAGATTTAAGCCTGTCAACATCAATGAATAAACCAATTCATCCATCAAATCATCAACCTTTACTGATGACCTCTTGTCATGTTGGACAAATCATTGAACCTAATACAACATTCATGAATTATTCTACACAGATTGATGACAGTCTAACAGAATCTGTTTTACTCTACCATAATAATAAATCTGGACATTATACACATAATGAAAATAATCATCTATTACCTGTGAATACTAATATTGTCTTACCAAATATGCTTCAACCAACTACATCCATAATACCTTTATCAAATCATGGAACAAATGTATCGTATGTATCAACAACTCCATCGTTTCATCATTTAATCAGTAATTCTTCTACAGTTAGTCCAGATGATTTCTTAAAATTTCATAGACAAAATGGTCAAAGTAGTTCTGGAGTTTCATTAGAATCCGACCCAACTCCAACTAAACGAACAAATCTATTTCATTCACAATCAGTTAATTATTCTAAACATTCAAATCAACATCCTCTACTTTCGGAATGCTGCTTTCAAAATGGAAGCATTACTATTCCTGGTCAAAATGGTAGTTTGAATGGATCTTTATTATATTCAAATGATTCAACAAGTTTAACAGATACTACAAATGGGAATGGAGTAATTATTCCTAATCATATAATTGTATCACAAAATCCTTATTCAGCTTATCGAATGCAATATATTTGTTCAGGTGAACAATCTGATAAGTTGACAAGGAAATTTGATTTCCAACCGCAGCCGAAACAACATCATCTGTTTACTCATTCAAATGATAATGCCAACAGTATTTGTCAACATACTTCTTCACAGTTTACTCATCAAAAAGAACATCAACCTCGTACAAACACTGAATTGTCTAGTTCTCAAGATATTGACAATGATGAGACATGTAATTTAATTACAGAGAAACGGATCAATCAGGACTTACATAACTATGCATTTAGAAATAGTTCTACTATTGATTCATTATCACATGGTACTAATAGTTCAACAAATCAATTAGAAAGTGGTTTAACATTACATTCAAATCAATTACCTTCATGTCTTACACCATTAGTAGTTCGTTTCCCTTCTGGTGAATCAGGTTTTTTATTTTGTCCAACACGTACAACTAATGAACATTACCAATCTGAAAGTTTATCACGTCAATCAAATCGTTTGTCAACTGTCTCTAATCATGTCATCAAGTCAATGGTTATAGATCCAAGAGAAAAGGATACACTGTTATGCTCAGATATTAAAATGAACCCAGATAGTATCCAGGCAAATGTTGAACCGTTAAAATTTGAAAATCAGTTCCAATCAAGTCGAACATCACAAACTTCGGAAAATAATACAAATCTGTATTTTCTACCGAATACATTGAAGAATATAAATCATTCATCAGTTGATTATGAAACATCATCCAAATCTTCATTGAATCATTATATCAATAATAAAGATGATAATAAATTAGAAATAATCACCATGGCAACATCATGTCATAATAATGATATACTTCATAACTATGAAGGTATTCCATTGATAGACAATTCTAATGATCAATTACATAAACAGAATAGTGTTCAAGAATTAAATACTAGTACTACTATTTATCCGGTGCATTAATGATATCACTTTAGTGTATATTATATTCTCTATTATTTCTCAATTGAGCAACTAATATACCATTATGATTATTATTGTAATGATAGATATTGTACTTTGACTTTATATAGAAACTTTTATTTATATAGTTGAAATCGTGAGTCAATTGAAGCTAGACCACCAGGGAAATCATGGAAGCACTGGACGGCCATTTCGTCCTATTGTGCTGAGGACTCCTACAATAGGACGAAACGGCTGTCCAGTGCTTTCAGGTTTTCCCTAGAGGTCTAGCTTCAATTGACTTACGCTTTCAACTATGAAAACCCCTTCTCCTTTATATGACTTCTCATTACAGTATCGAAATTTAATAAAGAGACTAATTGCTTTGATCCGTACATTGAAAAACAAATGTCACTATAATGTTGTTTCCTTCTAAGTTTAGACAAAAGAATAATATTTGAATTTCATACTTTGTTATATACTTATTAAATAAACGAAATAAATTATTTGGTTCTTCATGAAAAACAAAGTGATCTTGATTGTTATTCAAATTGTTTGGTAACATGGTTTGTTATATTAAAAGCACCCTTTCGTCTTAATACGGCCTTCCCCTTCAGTGCGCGTGCAAGATTCCGCATGCTAGACTCATACTAAGGACCTCTGACCCCATCGGTAAACACCTAACCTCCATAACACTGAGCCGGAATTCAACAGTGTTAACGTCTAACTCCATGACATTGTGTGACCGTTCATCATCGTTTTTAATGGGTAACTTCTTCTACAACATAATAATAGTGTAGTGACCAAGATCACGAGTGGAGACAATCAGGTGTATTCAAGCTCAAATTACAGACTATCTCACTAAATTCTCATAACCATACAGCAAACAGTTAATTTGCAAAATAACAATATATTGTCTCAATCTTAACTGTTTCTTCTACAAGTATCAGTCCGTTTCCTTCAATTTCATTGTTCATGCATTTTGTAACGACTGCTCTTCATTCCTGTTCTTTCCTTATCGATCTTCTGTCAAAATACATTCTATGTCTGACCATCACCATATACTACTTATGTAGATATAAGTAGACCACACCACAAAAGTTGAAAAGTTAAAATATGCCCACTAGTCTAAGTGATTAAAAATCTTAAGGACTATGTGTTGATGTTAGGTGATTGATATTTCTCATCACGTAACCTCGAACAAATGGTTAGTGTTGCATTCGAACGCCCTTCCCAGAAGTTCATATTCTGAGATGCTACCGTTTACTTGACATACGCTGTCAATCATTCTTCTATAATCAACTCTGTCCCGAGCTCTCCTATCCTGTTATTTACAATTCCTGTTCATTCTTTTGATATCTACCTCTAATACCTCGATCGACATGTTCTTTTATTTTTCTTTTCATCTCCGGAATTCCATGTCAGGCTTTTCATCATAATGCAGTTTGGTGATTTTCTCAATTTATGTCCCACATATGTTCAGCATTTTCCCTCATTTCCTTTCCAGCTAAAACAAAACACTGCCGTTACTTCTTGGTTTGTATTATTTGTACAGCATTAAGTTCTGATGAAGTGTTACATTGGACGCTACTCAGTAATCAAATATGACCAACACCTCAAAAGTAAATGATGTGAGCCGAGACCCGAAAATTTCATTGCCAAAAATTGAGATTAGGAAGCTGAACAGGGCAATTTTGAATCTTTCACCAATCATTATTCCGCTCAAGATTGATTACATGTATTGTTTATCAGTTCAAACGCTCAAGTATCACAATTGCATTTTTAAATATATTTTTGAAATTAAAATGAATAGGTTAAGTAAAAGGGTACTAATAAAGCAATTATTCTGAGATGGTGAGGTTTTGTGGAGAAGCAACCTAATAACTGTTTTATCTAGAACTCGTATCTTTCATATTATACCGCATACAACTTGAGCAGTCAAACGCTTGAACACTACAAATCGCAAGTCTGGAGACTAGTAGGAAGGAATCTTATTCAGAACAGTAAAAACCACTCAGGTATTTATAGTTTTTAGCAAAAATGTGTGGGAGCCAATTAGTCTCGAGGGAGGATTTGCCTCTCCAAAATTCGATGACGGTTGGTACTTTATCTTGAAATCGTACCACAGAAGTTCAGTTGCCAGTCGTCGTAGATGGCTTGCTGTATATACAGTATTACCCTTCTTGGATCCGAAAACTGACATCAGCGGTTTTTAGTTTGTTAGTAACGTAAACTGTCTGCCGACTAGCATCCTATGAAACATTTTTAAAGCGAAGAGAATAGAGATGGCTTCCTTCTACATCTGACTGTTGTTCCTTCTTGTCATTTTTAGTGGTCGTTCAGCGTGGGAAACTGCTTTCTCAAACTTGGTATGTGAAACCACTGTTCCAATTCCATATCTTGATGCAGCTGCTGCGACAACAATAGGAAGGGCTGGATCATAGTGAGTGTTAAGTCTATCGAAGCGTCCAAATGACCCGATTGAGATACGCGCAAAATCGAAGTTCCAAAACAACGATTTGTCTAAAAAAGCGGTTCTATTATTATATAAAACACAAAATTTAATTACAAACTTCAACTTGTGAGGTGTCTAGGCGTTTAACACGTCGTTCAAGAATGAAATAGCAAAGGCTTCGATAGTACAAAGACAGCCAATGGCTTTGTAGAAATTGGACAACAGTTTATGAACAATCGAAACTCGAACCATGAGCAAACAATATGGAAACTGTTGTGTTTAAACAAATCCGCAACTGTGGATAACCGTTAAAGTAATTAAAGTACAGTGATTACAATGACAAATACAATGATAAGTACAATAAACATCATAAATATATGTGAGCGTTTCTGAATGTTACAGTACAACTCGCGTTACAAAATAAATGTGAAAATTGTTGAGGATACAACTGCTTACTGAATATAAATAAGTAGTATAAAACAATAAACAGAGAAGTGGACGGAGAGCGAGTAGGAACATTGTAAGACAAACTTAACACTGCCCCCCAAAGACAGCATTTCTTTCCTTACTTTCGCTGATTGGGAACTAACGTAAAAACATTCGGAGGTGACAATGGTACAATTTACACTAGCTACAGTCACTCTGAAGAGTCTCTCTATCCTCTACTGTTCAGTCATCTGCTCCTTCTAATAAACACATTTTACGTATGCCTCTAATAATTATGCCTCTCGACGTTCTGATCTCCGCTTGTCTCACAAGCCCATCTTCTCCTGATTTTACACTTACCACTAGGCCTTTAGGCCAGTTATTTTGTGTGTAGGTGTCTCCAATAATCAAAATTAGATCGCCAACTCGTAGATCTCGTCTCCTTTGTGTTCACTTTGCTCGTGTCTGTAAAAGTGGTAAGTACTCCTTTATCCAACGACGCCAAAATGTAGTTACTAACAGTTTCGCTTGTCGCAATTGTCGGGAATAACGCTCACGTAGGCTTATTTCAATCTGATGAAGGCTAGGTTTTCTTAACAAAAGTAGATTATTAGGTGACAATGTCTCAAATTGTTATGGGTCGTCGTAAACTGGAACTAACGGTCTATCGTTAAGAATTATTTCTACTTCAGTCAAATAAGTGGAGAGTGACTCATAGGACATAAATTGCTCACCAGATACAGCACTCAAAATTCTACGTATGCTCCGTAATATTCTTTCCCATATACCTCCATGAAGACTTGCGTAAGTAAGTAAGTAAGTAAGTAAGTAAGTAAGTAAGTAATTAAGAAAAAGAAGAAGAAGAAGAAGAAGACGAGTGAGGACAATCCAATGTATTTGAAGTGAAAATTGCAGAGTGTCTTAGTAAAATGTGAGAGGAAATCAGTAAATACTTAATTTGCAAAATATCAATGAATCTTGACTATTGGTTTGCGAATGTCAATCAATCGTCCCACAATTCACTGTTCCTTCATTCCAATACGAATCGCTTTCTGTTCACGTTCTCTCCTCCTGGGACTTGACGAAATTCTGCTGTCAATCATTCTATTTCTCACTGGCCATAAATGCTACTTATTTAGATATAAGTAGTATTAATAGTATTACTAGTAGTAGTAGTATTGGCTGTTGTTGATGACTGTGATGATGTTGGGCTGTGATTGTGTGATTGTGGAAGTATGTATGTGATAGTGGGTATTGTGTGTGATGTGAAAATGTGATGTTAGAGGTTGTGAATAGGTATGTTGATGGTGGGATTCGAACCGGCGCCGTTTGAAGGTGGTTCCACATCCAACGCCTTAGACCACTCGGCCACATGGAAAATGATTGGGGCTACAAAAAACTTACTCATCAATTTCTACATTCGATTTCACCATCATCATGCAAATACACTTTGCTATTCACCACAACACTAAACACCACACAACACATACTACTCACTCACTCAATCACTCACTCACTCACTCAATCAAACACTCAATCACTCATACACTCAATCACTCACACACTCAATCACTCACGAACTCAAACACTCACACATTCAGTAATACAGCAAAACAAACACTCACCACTCATCACCCTGCGAAAAAGAACCCTCAATTTTCCATTTCACACTCACCATGCAAAAACACTATGCTATTCACCACAACACTACACACTACACAACACATACTACTCACTGATTCTCTCAGTCTCTCACTCATTCAATCATACACTCAATAAATCAAACACACAACCACTCACCACTCATCACCCCGTGTCAATCCATCCACCATTGTCTGCTTCGACAAACTACGCAGTGTATCACGTTCACACGATTAGTCAGTGAGGGAGAGTGTGCTTCATGCTGTCTGTTTGACACTTGTCCACTCAATGTGTCTGCATGCCATCCCACGTGCTGAATCAAGTTCATACTGAGTTAGGCAGCAATCGGCACACATGACAGTAGTAGTTGGATACAGTGAGGAGACGATGTTGTGTGTGAGTGGGACTAGGCAAGTGACTGTGACTGGTCGGTGTTGTGAATGAATAAAATGAAGTGTGGAAGTAACAGGGGACGGAGTGAGAATGTGGAGAGTGTGACGTGGTGATTGTGGTTTTGTTTGTGGTTGTGGTAGTGTTTTAGTTTTTTCGCTGTATGTGCAGTTGCAATTGAAATAGTCGTAGTGTTGTGAACAACAAGAAGATGAAGAAGAAAATGTAGAAGACGAGTGAGGACAATCCAATGTATTTGAAGTGGA